CGAGCCCATCAGACTCAAGGCAGCTTTTGTATTGGGAGCCCTACCTCCACCAGTGTCCCTGAGTTGTATGGATGTAGGTACATAGGCACCCACAAACCCCGACTTCCACTAAGTCTACCCCCTGCCATCTTTAACTCTATTCCTGCCTCCGCCCTTGCCTTAGCTCTGGTCAGTGCTTCATTTTCCCCTTGAGCTCTGCCTGACCTGAGCTGGTTGAGGTATGGCCCTTAACACCATGCTTGACCCTGTCAACCCTCCTCTTCTCTTGGAATGCAATCCCTGGAAGCTCTGAGCCTCACTGTGGCCTGACTGCCCTGTCACCTGACCCACCAGCAGACTGCCCTGCCCTGGCTATCAGCAGCAGGGTGAATCAGATCCCCTGTGATAGTTGCAGTCTATAACACAGGGCATGGGCCATCTTAGGGGACATCTGTGGTTGCAAATAAAGGCACTGACTTTGAGCCTGTCTGGGTTCAGTCTCAGCTTCACCATTTCTCTGCTCTTTGATCTTTCTTGGTCAGGTCACTTCATCTCTCTGGGCTTCAGTATCTGTGAAATGGTGATTTTCGTAGTATTTAGCTCATAGGGACATTGTAATGATTAGGTAAGGTAACAGATGTTCAGCTCTTGGCTTTGCCTGCTATGCAGTAAACCTTGGTAAGTGGTGGTTGTTGTTGGAGGTTTATCTGCCTGGTGGTGGCTCTTGCTCCTCCTGGCGCCCAGCCCTGGGGGTCTGGTTGCTGCATGTGATAGTGCTGTCTCCTAGTTCTTGGATTGTGGTTACCTCTACCACTATGGAATAGAATTATATTAGCTATCAATGGTCCAGCAACTAATTGCCTGATGTTTTACACTTCACAAAATACTTGTTATACTTTATCTTAAATAGTGGCCAAGGCCCAGTGCTGTCTCCCAGTGGTTGTAGCATGCACCACCCTCCCACCGTCTAATTCTGGATTAGAGCAGGCCATTCTGATCCAATATGTAGACCCTTGCCTGTCTTTGCCACTGCCTCACTTGGCACTCATGCCAGCTATTCCCTCAGTACAGCCCTGTCTGTTGGAGTCCTGATCTGCCTGCACCTACAGTCAGGCCAGTGCTGTCCCCCACCAGAGACCAATCGCACCCCCTTGGGAAGGCTCCTCTGGGCACAATGTTCCCTCTCTCAGAGCCTGCAGAATTCACCATGGAAAAAATGTTCTTTGAGATTTTGGTGTTGTTCTAATCTCCACTTTAAAACACACATTTCCCCATTCATCCTTTTGTTCATAAACTTTTTCATTTAGCAAACGTTCATTGAGAATCTATCAAGTGTCAAGACTTGGCTAATTGTTGGGAATTCAAAGTGGAAGAAGATAGGGTGCTTGCCCACAAGTAAACTCCTAGTCTAAGGGGAGACAGGCAAGTGCGTCGGTAAGTGCTCCTCAGAGTGCTGAGTTGGAAGGATGCAGGTGGGGCTGTGAGGTCACACAGAAGGGCCACCCATGTCAGACTGGAGGCGGGGGGGGGGGGGCTTCCTGGAGGAGGTGATCCTTGAAGTGAACTTTGTGGGATGAATAAGAGTTAGGCCAAGAAGGCTGTGACATGAAAAGCGGCATAACAAGCTATTGGCTATAAATGCCTTCCTGTAAGTTAGCACCCTCAGTTACTGTGTTCACCTAATGGAGGGCCAACAGCATTGGAACTTGTGCTACTTGTGTGACTTCTTGAATGCCATGGCGTCAAGCTAGGTGTTTGCCATACGAAAGGTTCTCTGGTGCTGCCCGCTTCAGATAGGTTGAATTTTGGAGCAATGGCCCTCTTCCAGCCTGCTCCTTTCCTTTATAATGAAATGTCCAGGACATAGTCTTCCCTTCTCTGTTCCCCTCCTCCTCGGTCACTCCCACTTGAATACTTCTTTCCTCTCTCCTGACCTAAAAGCCATCCCACCATCACTCTTTCTTTGACGTATCATGTGTGTAAATTTCACAGTGTCAGACAGGGATTTCCTTGGATCTTGATTTGCAAGATACAGTGCTCTCATGGGCCTCCTGCCTCATCTCGGTTTTGTGCTTTATGGTCACCCTATAAGCAGGTTCCCCTGTGACTCTGGTCTCTCTCCCCTCTATCTCTTCCCCTTACTCTGTTTCTAGTTCCTCTAATCCCCCATGTTCATAGTTACCCCTGTTTCCTGCTCTCCCTTAAAATCTCACTCATTGCCACAACTTAAATAATTCACACATCTGTCTCTATCCTTGACCTTGTCCAGAGACCTAATTCTTTATCTGTGACTGCGTGCTCAACACCTACAGCATGAAAGTCTACATCAACGGTCTGAAAGCAAATGCATTAGGCTCACCGGAACCCATCTTCCATACGTTATTTTCCTATTCAAAGGCATTCCCATTCTCTCAGTCACCCATAGTTATCTTTGAGTGTCAAATCCCATGGATGCTACTTTTGCACTGTCTCTTGCATTTGGCCACATCTGAAGGTTCTCATCTCACTATGCTTACGCTGTCATGGAGCCTGTTAACTTGTCAGTTAAGAGCAGGGCACTTCTCTCACTCATCTTCACTGGCCACTTGGTCTCCAGCATATAGTGCCTTACCCAGAGGAGGCCCTCACTCTTTGTTCCATGAATGACTGTCAGTTAAGTGTTTCAGTGCTTTACTTGCCTTTCATGAACTATTTGTCATTGAACGTATTTTCCATCACTCATCCTCTTAATACTTTTATTCTTAACCAAGCAAGCAGTAGAATACGATTTCACACACAGAACCTCAACTATGGTATTTCTGCTCTTTTTCAGGAAGAGAAATTAGTGGAGGGTGCACGGAAGTACTAAGTTAACTCTCCTTCATAAAAGCCAGATATAATACATAGGATTATGAAGCTTTCATGGGAATTTTTGATAACTTACATCTCCCTTTATACGTTGATTTTTTTTCTGCTTTTTCTCTTCTTTATTTTTAACAGGTTTTCAACACGGAAACTATCACAGTGACATAAGATGCTATTGATAGTACATCAATGTGATTCAGCTATTCCCCTGCCCAGCAGAGTGTGGCTGCTGTGTGCACAGCCATGTAATACATATTAGTTACACAGGCATTAGAGAAGCCCTTCCCATCCATATGTATGTGCATGGCCTGTGGAAGTTAATAACGCCATATATCACATGCACATAGAATGTAAAACGTACTCCAGACTGACAGCGGGCTCATATAAAATGAGTATTGGCGCACAATTAAAGGAAACCAGGGAAAGATTTTTGTCCTTTCAAATAACAGATTTATTTGTCTGTTTCTGTGTATCTCAGCATCCCAGACTCTAATTCTGCCTGCCTTTCTTTTTAGGGGGGGTGGGGTCAATAGATGCCCCCCTCTCCAGCCATCTTATTTCACTTCAGCCACATGGATAACAAAAGAACCCCTTTGGAGAAATGAAAGATAGCAATTACACATTGGTATTCATGTTACGGGAGTCACACTGCCGTCCTCAGGGAGTTTAACAATGAATATCCAACATTAATTGCCACAGTAACTCTGAGTCTGGCCTTGCTGAAATGTAATACATCAGTTTTACATAGTAAGATTATTTGCCACTAAAAGATTAAAAAAGAATGATCATAAAATTATATTGCTGTTTAGACTGACCAATATTTTTTGTTTTTAAGAAAATCCTGGAGGACTTCAATGGCTAGGTTGCTATATTTTCTTAGGATTTCATACCAGGAGATAAAAAAATCACAATTTTATCACCAATTCAGTTGGCAATTATGGCAAGATTAGTGCCCTCCTATTCTTATAAAAGGTGAATAAAATGCATTGACATCCCTGATTGGCCTATGGAACCAATTAATAAGGCATAATGGATATGGTGCTTTTTATCTATTGGGGGCAGGGATATCCTTCTCTTTCTTGTTTGTTTCTAATTACAGGTAGGATTTTCTATCAGTAGCACATATTTCCCTTTGGAAAGAGGTGACATCATTGCGAAGATTGAACTTTTCTTTAATCTTTTGCTCCCATCATCAGAAATAGATAAAGCTCCGTTTTCTTATATGCATCTTACAGTTCCTTTTTTCCTGGGCTACCTTACACTTACTGGGTGTTGCTCGCCGGGGGAATGTCACACTAAACACTCTGGAAGTGTTCATCACTCAGTCGGAGCCACACTGCTGGGTCAGCAGCCAGCCCTCCTCTGTGACAGAGCCATGTCAGCGGGCCACGCTCGCTCTGGGCTGGGGAAGCTGCGTGTGCAGAAATGAATGATGGTTCAGCTGCCTCTCCTTTCTACAGAGGGACTGAGGTGAAGAAAGTCAGGGCACTCACCCGTGACATCCGAATTTCAGCCTAGATGAGATTCTAACTAGAGAGCCATTTTTGCTTGTATTCTGGCAAAACAAGTACATGATAAATTTGAAGGCCATCTCAAGTCTGCAAAAAAAAAAAATATTGAACTGAATGATCAAATGAGTAGGTTTTTTTTTCCCACTACCTTTTAAAGCAAGGCTGTGAAATAAATGAATATGATGATATGTGTCAACTGCTGAATATGGCTTACTCATTGTTTTAATGCTTAAATAATGTAGGTTTTAAGTGATTTTCCCATTTTGATAAAGTGTTTAATAAACATTCACAAGGTGAAAGAGAATATAGCACACATTTAATTAGTATGTTGTGCTTTTTGAAACTTTGAACTTTGTATTCTCTAATTCAAGTTGTTTAGGTAGTTTTAAGAATAAACTCTGAAATCCCACTTTTTCGTTCCCTGTTTCCTTTAAAGTACTTATGTCTCTCCAGTGCTTTATGTTTCAATAAAACTTGAGCCTGCATATTCTACTATTAGAGGGCGAATTTTTGGCCAGACTCTTCATTTATTTTCAATCTTTAAAGAAATGATGCTAAAGCAACTCTAGAAAATGCAGCTTTCGTTAGCTTCTTTTTTTTTTTTTCCTTTTTAATTCTCTCTCCCTTTCTCCTTCTCCCATCCATCACTCCCCTCCACAATTAAAGCAGGATGATGAAGTGACTACGACTGTTCAAGTGAAAGAGCAAGACCGGAGCGTCCTGGTGCTGAAGAAAGTGCAGAGCTGCGGCCCAGCCCCCACCGCTGGGAGCCCGGAGAGCCATTGCAGGTGAGAGTTTCCCTGCAGCCACGGAGGCACGCGCTCCGGTTTCCTTCTCCCTGCCTTCCCTTCTCACTCGCTCTCTGCCTCCTCTACCCTCCCTCCCTCTCTTTTCTCTCCGCCTCTCCAGCGTTCTAGCTGACTGCAGAGCTCTTAGCAGCCAGATGGGCTCAGTTCCTAGTGGAAGGACAGGGATGGCAAGATCTTTTAGCATTTAAGGGGATGCCTTTGTTAGTCACGGCTCACAATGGGCAGCTCCCGGCTGAGGGTCTTCGACCCTCATCTAGAGAGGAAAGATCCGGCGGCACTCTCAGACCGAGAGCTGCCCTTGCCTACCTTCGATGTGCCTTATTTCAAATACATCGACGAGGAGGATGAGGACGATGAATGGAGCAGCCGCTCGCAGTCCTCCACCGAGGATGACTCAGTGGACTCTCTGCTCTCTGACAGATACGTGGTAGTGTCCGGGACTCCGGAGAAGATTTTGGAGCACCTTCTGAATGACTTGCACCTGGAAGAAGTCCAGGACAAAGAGACAGGTAAGGCACGGAGTGTCTCTCCTGCTTCCAGACTCACAGCTGCTGATGCCCTTGTCTGTATCCTCAGGGGCAAGGCTCCCCCTGTTAGCTGAAACCCGGATGGGGTGAAACAGCATATGCTTTGTGTGCCTTGTCCTTTGCCTTGTGCCATTTTGTTTAAATCCAGTAAATGGACACATGTAGTTTCCCAGCAGCTGCCCGGGAAGTAGGTGTACAAAGAAAATGATATGAAGGCAGATGTTCTTGATTCCTTGGCAATTTTTACCAAATCTCACCTAAAGGCAGTTGGCAAGAGGCCAAGATTCACTAGCCCACGTTCAATGAAAAGAAATACAGGGGGGGAGGGTTAGCAGGCACTCACCTGGCATGTGGGAAGTGCTGAGCTGGGGGCAGTAGCCTTCCTGCCCAAATGTCAACAATTAAAGCAACTACTCAGCAACTACATGGTTAGCAGCAACTTCTGCCTTTTTCCAAGTGGTTTACAAACTGCTGGCTCAGAGCAAGCCCTGGGGTGCAGAATATGATACTCAAAGCTTTCCAGACCAGAAATTGTAATTCACTGATGCCTTATCGATCAGACTTCCTGTCCTTTTCATTTAATCTGAGAGCAAAATACCCATTTAGCTTTTTCATCCATGCACTTTTGGAAACACTGCTATTTCATTTACAAAATGACTTATCTATAACTTCCTTTATCACAGAAGGGAGAGTACTTGCTTCTCTTAACCAGAATTTGTAATTTGTTCCAGCCTGAAGCAATTATCCCAATGAATAGGCCTCTGGCTATACCCTGGGTTTTGCAACTTGATTCCTTGACTAAAGTGCACTTTTTGCTGCTACCATAGCACCTGTGATAACCACAGTTTCCTTAGGTTTTTACCTTGTAGAAGGGATTGTGAAATGACAACTTAGGTGGGAACAAGAGTTTCCTTGCATCCTAGGAGTTTTGACTGAACATAAGTGACCTCTGGGTCTATAGTGTGCATTATAAAGGGCAATAAGAGAAACAAGGATGTGTGAAATATGTAAATGGGTAAAAAAAAAAAGTAGCAAAATGACCAAATCATGTATCTTGCAGTAGTGTTATTGTTTAATCTTAAAATTTAAATAGAGACCTTATTTTGCAATGTGTTTGAAGAAAAAATCAATAGTTGTCATTTATATACACAAAAAATAAGCTAAAAGGAAAATGTTTTTATAGCATTTGCTGAGTTGATTTCATATATCTACAGATTAATATTTTGTGCATTTGAGCACTACTCCCATTTTCTGCTTCATCAAATATAATCATCATGGAAGTGGGCATAATTTTCCATGTACTGATTACCAGACTGCTTTTACACAGGTGGTTTGTACTAGAATACAGGCAAATTGTCTGTCATGGAGAGGACACTTGAAATGTGGTAGGTTTGGAAGAGTTGAATGCTTGCTTTTTCTTCATAACACCACGGTTCTAGTCTGTAAATGCAAGAGTTTGTGTCAAGGTCATATTAATAAGGGTAGAAATTATTAAAACCTAACTAGGCCTAACTTGATTTCTTTTGTCTTTCTTTCTAATTGTCATTAGTCTGTGTTCTCTTCTCTTCTGAGAAAAATGGCCTAGGTGCTCACTAACAAGTTCCCACTTCTTAACACTGGAAATGATAAATCACTCGTTACTGTTACTAATGCCAGAAGCTGCCTCCTATTGGGAAATAGTGATGTGCATGGTGTATAGTGACTTATTCCTGTTTTCTTCTCAGTTATATTAACCCTGGGATAAAATATGTCACTTCAGCCATGTGTTCACAAAGCAAAGAGGACCATGACCTGGTGGCTTGGCTCTGGTAGCACCAACCTAAGCAGGGCAGAAGGGGTGCAGCCTCACCTGATTTCTGCTCATTTTCTTAAAGTTTGGGGGAAGGACACGTGAAACTTCAGAGTTTTGCAGAGACATTTGAGGGGAAAAAATCGGTAACAACTTTTCCTCTTTTCAAAGGAGAATTTTATGAAAATGAAAAAGTCAGTTCTGGAAAAAGTGATGTGTATATAAAAGAGATGCCTAAGTAGAAGTCACATGTAGCTCTTTAAAACTTCAAGTACAGCACTTGGAGAAAACAGTAGAAAAGCCACCATGTGGTTTTTGTTGATAAAATTAAAAGAAATGTAATAAATATCAAATGAAATGAATTTTGTGTGCAAACTGAAGAAAAGTGGTTATTAATTGTTTGAACACTAAATGAATCAGATATTTAAAGTAGCGTGGCCCTTTGTCAGTGGCAGAGGTGAATTCTGGTTCTTTATCTTGGTCCGGTTGGCAGCCCTCATTATCAAAGGCCTGTGTGCGCGGGAGCCCAGTAGAGTTGCATGAACCATATGGAGGACAGATGGGGGAGAATGAGACGGGGCTGCAATAAAAGTACACAGCAGCATTTTATGTTCCTGAGCACCCCTGTTAGGGAGGTGGAGCCATCTGGGGCTGGGTGGAGCCATATGGTGGCCCTGTACATGGCCCTGATAGCAACTGGGAAGAAAGGGTACAGGGGAGGAAGTAGAAGGTTGTGGAAGCTGGGACCAGGGAGAGGGATGAGCCTGTTCTGGCTCACATTCGAGGCCCAGGAGAGGCAAGAGATGTGAGTAATTTCCCCCCTCTTTCCTGCAGAAATCACTTAGTTGTGAAAATGTAGGTGCACAGGCCTCAGTAGAAGAGGCTGTCTTTGCTCACACAGGACAAGTTGAAGTGGTTACTGATTGATGTTAACATGCAAGTGGGAAAAGTTTACTGAATTGCGGGGGAATAGGGAGGAGAAGGCCAGGGCGATTGAGATAGGCATTTCTGTTGCTACTGGAATCAAGAAAGCATAGAAAACAACTAAACAATTCATACAGTATTCTATCACTAAATCAAGCTAAGTGTTAAAAGCAAAAATAACTTTAGAGATGCTACTAATGACTTTCCCAAATGACTTGATCGACACACACTAACCATACTTATCTTCATAATCCTTCAAATGCATACCTTTCCTCCCTGTGGCATTTGTACTCCCTGGTGGTACAGGTATAAAAAGTCATCCAGTGATATCTGTGGAATAAAGGGTGGGAGGGAGGAAGGAAGGGAGGGAGGGAGGGAGGGAGGAAGGAAGGGAGGAAGGAAGGAAGGAAGGAAGGAAGGAAGGAAGGAATTTCTTAAACTCTTAAATAGAAGATGAATGGGATATGCTAATAGGGAACAAGTAAACCAACCAAGCATTTATTTGGGTCTTCCATGCATTGCAGCCAGATTCGAAATACTCAATAATCTATGATATTCTCTCTTTTATGTATTACATTAGAAATATAACACTCCCAAATAGCACACCACAATTTGTTGTAATTTAAATTTTTTAACATTTCTTCCTTTGTCCCATAGTTCTTCATTGTTTAAAATAGAAAAACTAAGAGTCTGGTAACTGGATATTTATTTGTGAACATGGAAAGTGATTGAATCTGTTTTCAAAGATTTCTCTCTTTTTTTTTTTTTTTTTTGTTTCCAAGGTTCTGACTTGAAACATTTTGAAATGTTACAGGAAAATCAAGCAGTTTCTGCAGCTCTGTCTTTCATCTTTCCTTCTCTCAGAAATAGGGCAGGCATCACTGGGCATGAGATTTACATGAGAGAATTGTAAGGAAGGCAAGAAGGAAAAACACAAGGAATTGTGAGTGGAGGAGTTGGAGAGATGGAGGAACAGATTAGGACCCAGCCAGTCCTGCTCTGTTGTGGTCACAGTGGTTACTGCGCCAATTTAACCCCTTCCCCTCCCTGGAGAGGATAAAGTATGTTTTGCTTACAGACACTTCTGTAGGAAATAATGATTTCTGTTTCAGAGCAGGGGGGAAAACTGAAAAACCTTCTTATTGATTTTTCTTTCTGAATCTGTGTTATAACGAGTCTGCCTTAAGGAAAACACAGAGGAAATAATGTTATTTCCCATTTCTTAATTCCCACTTCTTTATTCATCTTTTGAAGAAAATGCCCTTATGATTCCAGGTTTCCAAGAAAATCAAGCAAATAGAATAGGATAGTAGGACTAGATAAAGCCTGCCAGCTGATTCTCATTAGACCTGACCTGATTTCTTTAAGGTATGGCTGCTTTTTTTTCCCTTTTTTTTTTTTTTAACTTCGTGAGGTTATCATTCAGTATAGTTCATTAACGTGCCTCGGTGGGGAAATGTCTACGCAGCCTGCCTTGATCATTTTGGGATACCTCAGTGTTGGTGGTTTGCTTTAAGCAGCACATAGTGGGTTGAACATGTGATTGAAGAAGTGAGTTATTACTGTTCTAAGGAGGCAACAACCTCTGTGAAAGTATCAGCTTTATATTGTAGGGATTTCTCACTCATTTGTTAGAATCCAAAAGCTCTTGATGGTCAGCCTAGTGGCTTTTTCCAAGCATTGCACTAACCAAACCTTGCGTAAAGCTAGGACAGGCACCTCATTTTCTATTAATGCTTTTATCTTCTCCTCTGCCAGCACCAAGCTTGTAATAAGCCCTTGATATATAATTTTTGTGGAGGAAAATAAATAATGCTTTTGTTCTGATTGTTGGAAAGATAGAAGACAATTAAGTGAACTCCTTTCTTGCTTACCTTGCCTTTTGGGATAGCTAAAAGGGATGATGCTGGGTGCCTCTGTTCTAGGCTTTTTCTCCCAGGTAACCAGACCATAAAAACCCTGTAGCAGCATCACTTTTGCAGAACTAAAACTTTTCAAGGGTGGGTAGAGAAACTTTTAGATGGTGGTAAGTCTTTCCATGATTTGGAAAATTGATATGCACATGCAATCACCTTGTATTTATGTCTTGTCTTTTTTATTTCTGTAATGTCATGTAACAGACCAGGGTAGCTTATCTGCAGCTGCACATTAGGAGCACCTGGGGCACTTTTAAAACATACCAGTGCCCAGAGATTCTGTTTTAGCTGGCCTGAGTTGGCGGGTCTAGGTCTAATGGGCTTTAAAAGCTCCCCAGGGGATGCTAGTATGT